TCATGGATGTTTTATATTTTACAAAAAGGCAGGTGGCATCAATGCAATACTCATATACCTTGAGGGTGTAATTGTATCTTAATATTGTTTTACAACCTCATGATGATACCTTAACAGTAGCCGATGGTGTATTTCGAAGTCCGTGAGAAAGATTTCCACTGTGAATAAAATAGAGCAAAGAATTATATACAGGAACATCAAAATCAGACAACAAGCATAACTATGCAATTTTAAAGGTCTTAAAATTCGTGAAGCTTTAAAATAATGTATAACATATCAAAGAAATAATATTGACATTTTTTCAAACGAATTTATAAGATCAAGACTTGTCAACGTGTAAGGTATAGTTTCCCGATTTCTATCAAGGGAGGGGAAGGGAGGAAGGAAGGAAAATAATCCCCTAACCAGTCAGTCATAACTTCTATGAGATGGAACATCATTTGAAAAGGGAGAAATATTCAATATTATCTTTGTAAAATATAAGAAAAATCAATAATAACAATAAGAGAGCAGAACAGGGAGAATAATCCATTCTCTTTTATTTCCAATACATCAGGTCTCAAGTTTTATATTGATAAGGCTTAGTTCTTCCTTCCAAATAAATATGTCCCACCAAAAATAATTAAATAATGGTGATACATTTCAACATAATATCTTATTAAAAAACTTTCAAGCTGACAATGCAGCTGTGCCTTTTAGAAGCAAAAGCGGAATAAAAGCAACAGGGTATTTTATAGAGAAGAGAATATATCCCTATTAATACTAAAATTTAAATTTGGAAAGTTCGGAGACTAAAATGATAAATACAATAAATTCAATTTTAATTGGGTCAAATATTTAAATATTGATAGAGTAATGATAAATATATCAATATTGTACTCGTTGGATAGCTTGTAATTAATTATGTATATTAGGCTCTTGGAAAAGTCGATTCGGATAAATCAGCTCCAAAATATTTCAGTTTGAAGAAGTTGATGAAAACTAGTTTTGCAATTTAATTGGAACCTTGGATGAAAATGTACCTGCCACGTGTCATGTGTATGGAGTGTTACATTTTGATTTTGAATTTGGAGGTTAGTGCACATGTATCTTAAATGATAGATAGGTAGATTTATTTTAAAATGATTTATTTGCTTAGGTTTTTGGGATATGATAGTGATAGACTACCATGTGTTGATTAGCTAGGGAAGAAATAATGATTGTATGGAATTGAGACCCTTAATTAGAAAAATACGGCTTTTTGACAAGCTTTTAGGCATACTAAAATTCAATATTCTCTTTCACCTTTAAATACCATAAAAAGTTTTTATTATTTATCCTAGAAAATTTAGATACTTATATACGGTGGTAGCAGCAACAAATACCAAAAAATAGTTTTGGAAAGTGAATTTGGATTGTCTTTCAAAAATTGATTCATCTCACGAGGTAGGATATCGAGGTGCAATGTATTCTATCTCGTTTAATTATTTTTTTCATGTTAATGAATTATTGTACTCAAGAAAACTAAAGATATGATACAATATGCTATGATATAAATGATATGATCATTCCAGTACAAATAATATGATATGAGCTTTTACCAATTTCTAAAGATATGAAACGGTATGATTTTTTCAATGTTATAAAAATCGGACCAGACCGGCCGATTCAACCGGGAAACTCATGAACCTGCCTTTAATCCGGTCAGGTACTCATAAGTTAACCGAAAATTAAAAAATCGGCTAATAAACCATCAACCTAGCCGGTTCAACCGTTAATCTCGGTTCAACCGTTAATCTATAAACTAGCCACGGTTTTTCCCAGGTGATTTAATTTTATTTTTTCCACAAAAAGTTTTAACTATCTCAATAGACCACCCATTGCAATTGAAGGCCCAAATAACTTTTTTATACAAGTTATTCTCCTTTACCTCCTTTATAAAGGAGATAATTCTTTCAATATTTTAGTAATCTTCCAATGTGGAATACTAGCTCATTTTTAAAGAAGACTCTTTTTTCAATATTGTGGTTATCTTCCAATGTGGGATAATAGTCAATTGTTAATTCTAACTTTTCAAGTGCTTACTAGTTTACTTCATTATTTTCATTAACTAATCATAAACCCCAGCAAAATTATAATTTTTAATTTGAGCAAAGCAAATTATTTTTGACTTATTAATTGTTAGTTTTTGAGGTTATAAAATAAATTACCATAATAAACCTAAGTAACAAACATTGATTATATTTACTTTGAATGAGAAAAATAAAATTTAAAAATTTATTATAGTTGTGATATTTTATAGTTTATTTTTTGTATTTATTTATTTATTTTGTCATCCGGTTCGATACCGGTTCTACCTCAGTTCGACCCTTTAAACCTCTACCCTTTTTCTTTTTCGGGTCGATTTTTAAAACATTATATTTTTCTGATACACGTTTTAAAATTTTTACTCGAGATTGCACCATAAATATTTGTATCTTACTGAGTATTTCTATATACTTACCATTTTCCCTACTCACAGATTAGAAGGGGTCGTTGGTTGGCGGGCGAGGCAATGCAATCGTGTTGCTAGAAATTGTGGAATTCAAAATAAATAAATTCTGAGTAATATTGGACTTTTATTTTTAGCGTTATTCTAGTTTTTATTTTCATGTGAAATTTGCTATTCAGGATTTGAGACATGTTTCGATTAATTATGTTTTCCATATATTTTATTTATTTTATAGATGGAACTAGAAAACTTTTCATGTTGGAGGTTTGATTAAATTTATTTAATTATGGAATGAAAGTTTTGGTAACGATTTAAATTGTTAGAAATTGGGTCGTTACAAAAAAATTGCATAAATTTCCTCGTACTCTACTTGCTCAGCAATGAAAGACATTTTAGCAATAGATCACAAAGTCAGATGCTAAAACTTGCCTTAGAACACCAGCATACATGAAAGGAACAACTACGTCTCCATGCAATGCCAATATCCACCGGATGGGCCTACTGAACATGACCTATATGAGAAGAAGCCGACGCAAAGTTACATCGATTTTCAACAATTAGTGCATAATAGAATAGAATAAGGACCAAACGAGAACAAAAATATATGAAAAATTATATGAGAAAGGCACTATGACTGGAAAGGACCAAGCAGGTGTGAGAAATGAAATATTGCAAACAAGCTTAATTTTCTTTATAATGCCCAAAATTTTCGAATATTCCAGAAATCCCATTCCATCAAAGTTGGTTGTTCTGTCACTGCAGAGTTGGTTTTGGCAATGTTGTTGGCAGTCCTAATCTATTATCCCATCTTTCTCTCTTAGCACCAAAATTTCCATGAGAAGGAGAAAAACCCAAAAAGTTTCTAAAAAATAAGATAGAAAGGTCTTTAGCTTGGGTATGTGTGATGAATACGTATCTCATAAAGGGTTGAAAAAAGGGGGAATTTTTCTGACACTCTTTTTAATGGCCACGGAGAAATAAGGAACATTAGACCACTTTATCTAAAAGTTCAAGTCGTCAAGCTTAAATTTGTAAGGTAAGACCACATGTATATCATTAAAATCTTACATTCAATACACCTCCCTAGATGTAGGTGGGATTAAAATTTTCTCATTAAAGCTTTACACATGCACAATTTTTAATAAATGGGTGGCGGTGAAATTTCATCCAGGAACTTGTGATATCATGTAAAACTACTTGATCTAAAAGTTTAAGCCATCAAACTAGGCTACATGTCCATCATTTGGATCTTAATAAAGGACTCACTATCTAATTTCTTGTTTAAAAGGAAAATATAGTTTCGATAAGTTAAGCTTTTATTCTTTCCTTACTTGAATTAGTTATTTAATTACAACCTGGCCCAAAAACTAGTGGGAAGAATTGACTTAATCTCAAGGCTACGAGATAATAACCAATCTCGTGTAGGGTAATTAATTATGTTCATCTCTAAATGAGAAAAGAGAGGAGTGTTTATGTGTTAGATGGAGACCAGCATGCTAGAAGTTAAAAGTCAACAAAGAGTGAATGAGCACAATTCTGCTTGTGGGTTTTGATAAAGGCACGGGGGGAGGGAGAAGGTGTAGGATCCTTTAATGGGGATAGCACGAGGGAGGGAGGCAAAGCCAAAAAAGGTCCTGCAGGAGGAGCATAAAGGATTGGCTCATAAAAATACAAAACTCGGCATGGGCGTTTGTAGAGAAATGGTACCCACTGTAATTCCACCTTTGAACCCATTTAGTACATCTACCATCATGATTTCAACCCAGTGTAGAAGAGAGCAATTATTGAAAAAAGACCAGGAACACTTCCATTGTAACAAATTGTGTCTACCAGGAACACTTCCATAAACTTACAGATCGTGTCTACCAGGAGCACTTCAATTGAAACTGATATCAAATAAGTTGGTATAACAGTGCAAACCTCAGAGTTCCAACGCATTGACTTAGGGAACAATATTTTACCAATTGTCCCAGGTAATTCTTCAGATAATACCTGTTCAAGAAAATAAACAGGATAATTCAACAATTAATGCGATCAGAGTACTAGAATCTAAAGAGGTGGATCAGCACTAAAAAATCTGTTCAAGGAAAGACATCCTGTGGAGCAAAGTTTCAGTTGCTAACTAAAATGCGACTTACACAGCTGCAGCAGAAGGTTGAACTTATAAATATTTACACGACAGTAAGGTCAGCAATAGTAAGTGTTACATTGATTAGGCAAACCAACCTACACTAACTTTAAATGTGAGAGATGCAACGGGATGCTTGAAGCCATTCAGTATATTAATGTTTTAATCATAAGTAGAGGAGGTGACATTGTGTGTTTCCTATATCTTTCTTTTGTGTTGATGTTCTGGGGAGGGGATGGGTTGGTCGTGGTGATCTTGAATTAGACAGACGATTTGACCTAATAGGATGGAAGCAGAAGGGTTGGTAATTTACCTCCAAAGCAAGTCGTGATGGCTCCACCGCACGAACATAAACATACTCTGTTTTACCTACAATATTTTTTATTAAAGTATTCATTATTGGAAAGAATAAAATAAATTTGGGAAGCATGAGAAATCCTCCCGTAAAATGAGTAGATTACAGGATAATAGCCCTTCAACCCACTCAAAAGTTAAATTAACAAGCAATGATAAGTGCAGAATTACTTGAGTAAACATTAAAGATGTCAAACAACAATGATAAATGTTAAAAATATTTTTTTCTTTTTTTTAAAGGTAATCAAATATTTTATTAATCAATGAAAAAAAAAACATGAGAAGTGTATTATCAATTTAAACCAGAAAGAACCAACATGAAATTGGACAGCCAGTCTATATATATTTCCGCAACATTAAACTAAGTATACAGTGACAAATAAAACACTTCTTTAATTTGCTCTATTATTCGTGTTTGATCATCAAAACAACAGCTACTTCTTTCTCTCCACATACAACATACGATGCAACCCGGAATAAGGTCCATACAAGCTTACTATCCTTATCGCGAAACTTTCTCCACCATGCCTTTAACACGTCCTCCATACGCTCGGCAACACCCAATCCATATGTTGAGATGCTAGAATATTGTTCCACAGAAAACGAGTAGTATCACAATAAAGAAACAAATGATCAATCGTCTCCCCATCCCTTCTATATATATAGCACCACTCCGTAACATAAAAACCCTTTGTTCATAGATTATTTGTCGATAACACCTGTCCACTAACAACATAGTAAAAATGCCACCCTTGAAGGCAGTTTATATTTCCATACCATCTCCCAATGGAATGAACTCTCCACAGGTCCCAATAAGGATCTAAAATAAGTGACGATCGAGAAGATACCATCTCATGTCAACCTCTACCTACTACAATCACCCTCTCCTACCCTAATATGCACCTCATACAAAGATGTCAAAAGCAACGTATAATCATTCACTTCCCAATCCCGCAAACCTCGCCCAAAAGCAATGTTCCAATTGAGACTTCCGTTATGCATATCTAAGACCTCATTCACCGAAGCAGACAACACCAAAGCAATACAATACAAAGAGGGAAACCCTACACTAAGTGGTTGCTCCCCACACGAACAATCATTCCAAAAACTAACAGTATTACCATTCTCCACCACAAAAGTCAATTTATCCTGAAAATCGCTCCACCCTTGCCGAATATATTGCCACAAACTTACCCCATAAGAACCACAGCCCACGTCTGAGCACCATCCCCTCCATAACACTATATTTTGCCCATATAACTTCTCTAAAAAACCTCTCCCCCTCCACTCCGAATCACCGCAACCACTTACCCAATAAAACCTTATTAAACAATACAAAGCTCCTTAATCCAAGACACCGCCCTTATGGGAGAACAAACTATACTCCAGTTAATCAAATGTAATTTCCTCTCCTCCTATAATCTTCTTCAAAGAAACTCCTTTTAAATCCTCTATAATATTTTTGCCACTGCAACATGAATAGGAAACAATGACTAAAAAAAAAAAATGTTACAAGTAATCAAATATTTTATTAATCATGGATAATACACAGGAAGTGTATTATCAATTTATACAAGAAAGAAACAACATAGAGTTGGACAACCTGTCTATACGAGTAGTAGCCGCATCATTAAACCAATTATACAAGGTCAAATAAAATGATTCTTTAATATGCTCTGTAGTTCTTGAATGATCATCAAAACAATGGTTGTTTCTCTCCCTCCACACACATGACGATGCACCTTGGAATGAAGTCCCAGACAAGCTTGCTATCCTTATTAAGAAATTTTCTCATCCATGCTTTCAATACATCCTCCATACACAACGGGAAAACCCAAACCATGTGTTGAGAAGCTAAAATATCAATCTACAAGGAACGAGCAACATCACAATAAAAGAACAAATGGTCAATCATCTCCCCATTCCTCCTACACATATAACACCACTCCGTAACATAAAAGCCTCTTATTCGGAGGTTATCCACCGTTAACACCTATCCCTTCACAACCGTCCATAGTAAAAATGCCACTCGGGGAGGCAGTTTACATTTCCATACTATCTTCCAGGGGAATGAGCTTTTCACGTCTCAATAAGGATCTAAAATAAGTACCAACAGATAAAATACTATCCCGTGCCAAACTCTACCTGCTACAATCACCCTCTCCTACCCTATTGCGCGCCTCATACAAAGAGGTCATAAGCATCGCATAATCATCCAATTCTCAACCCTGCAAACCCCTCCAAAACTCAATGTTCTGGCTGATATTCCTATTATGTATATGTAGAATCTTGTACACCATAGCAGATGGCATCAGAACAATCGATACAGAGAAGGAAATAGCCGATTTCCACACCAACAATCTTCCCAAATTTTGATAATATTGCCATTCCCCATCACAAACGTCAATCTATCTTGGAAGTCTCTCCACCCTGGTTGGATATACTTCCATAAACTCACCCCATAAGAACTACGACCCTCAACTAGGCACCATCTTCCCTCCATAACACCATATCTTGCCTCTATAATTTCTCTCCAAAAGTTCCCCCTCTCCATCCCAAATATCCACAATCACTTACCCAACAAAGTCTTATTAAACACTACTATACTTCTCAATCCGAGGCCCCCATTCCTTATGGGAGAACAAACTGCCTCCCAATTAACCAAGTGAAGTTTCCTCACCTCTCCTAACCCTCCCCATAAAAACTTACTTTGAATCTCTCTAATCTTTTTGCTAATGAGACGGGAATAGGAAACAATGACAAGAAATAGGAGGTTCGATAGGGTGGACTTAATGAGGGTAAGAAGGCCTCCCTTTGAGAGGTACATACATTTCCAACTCGCTAGCCTCCTCTCCACCTTTTCCACAATGCTATTCCAAATATGTATACTTTTAAATCGTGTTCCTAGAAGGAGTCCAAGATATGACATAGGTAGCTGTGCTACTCTACAACCCAATATAGCTGCCAATTTCTCCACATTATCTACATCTCCCACTTTGATAGCCTCAAATTTCCCAAAATTTATCTTCAATTCAGATACAGCTTCAAAGTAAAGAAACAAACAACGCAAGTTCCTGAATTGCTCAGCATCTGCATCACAGAAGATCAATGTGTCATCTGCAAATAACAAATGAGATACCTGCACTTGGTCAATCATAAAGCCCCTTAACAGGCTTTCCCCCACAGCCTTCTCAAGTATCCTACTGAAAACCTCCATAACAATAACAAACAGCAGTGAAGACAAAGGATCCCCTTACCTCAAACCTCTACTGCTTCGAAAATAACCTTCAGGAGTGCCACTCACCAAAATGGAAAAGGAAACTGTAGAGATACAAAACTGAATCCATCTGCACCACTTGTCCCCGAAGCCACATCTTTTGAGCATATACAGGAGGAATCCCCAGTTCACGTGATCATAAGCTTTTTGAATATCAAGCGTACATAACATCACTAAAATCCCTATGTGTAATCTTGAGTCAATACATTCATTTACTATAAGAACGGAATCCAATATCTAGCGCCCTTTAACAAAAGCATTCTAAAATTCAGAAACCACTTTCCCCAACACCTCTTTTAATCTATTTGCCAATACCTTTGCAATAATCTTGTACATTTCACTGACTAAATTGATGGGACGAAAGTCTTTAATATCTGATGCTCCCAATTTCTTTGGAATCTATATAATAAATGTAGCATTAGAACTTCTCAAGAACCTACCACACTGAAAGAAATAAGTAAAGACATCCATAATATCCAATCGCACCACTTCGTCTTGGGGCCTTATCATCATTCGTGCTGAACACCACCTCCCTAATCTCATCCACTCCAAATGGTCTCTCTAACCAACTAGCATCCTCCTCAATAATAGAAGAAAAATCTAACCCCTCCAAATTGGGCCTCTAGTCAAACTGCCCCCGATAAAGATTTTGATAGAAACTCACTATTTGGGTCCCAGTATCTTGTGGGTCCTCATAAGTAATACCATCTACCTCCAACAATGTAATAGAATTGTTACACTTGTTGGAATTAGTGGCCCTATGGAAAAATTGTGTACACTTATCCATCTCCTTCAACCACTTGACCCTAGATTTCTGACGCTAAGCTAATTCCTCCATCTCCACCTACCTCTCCAACTCTTTATTCTCCACGTCTCTCCCTCTCATCCCCTACCAATCCTTGGCTCTCCTCCGTCCTATCCAGCTCTTCTATTTCTAAAATACATTGCTTTTTACGCCAATTAACATCTTCCACTACCTCTTCATTCCACCTCTTTATATCCCTCTTCAAGGATTTCAATTTCTGATCCAACACACAACTGGAAGACTACCTGAAATCGTAAGTTGCCCACCAATCTTGTACTCGCTCCCTAAAGCCTTCTACTTTTAACCACATCTTCTCAAACCTATAAGGCCTCCTTTCACTACATTTTACATTCCCCGATAGCAAGATAGGAAAATGATCAGAATACACCCTCCCCAATCTTCTCTGAGTGACCTCTGGGTACTTCTCATCCCACTCCCCACTAATCAGAAATCTATCTAATCGTGATAGAAAAAGTTGATCCCGATTAGAGGACCAAATATGAATACTTTTGAACCGTGCTCCTAAAGGAAGCCCAAGTATGACATAGGCTGCTGCGCAACCTAGTAACCAAATATAGCAGCTAACTCCTCCACGTTCTCGACCTCTCCCACAGTAATAGCCTCGAATTTCCCAAGATTTATCGTCACTCCAGATATAGCCTAAAAACACATAAGCAAACAACGCAAGTTCCTGAATTGCTCAACATCTGCATCACAGCAAACAACAAATGAGATACCTACAACTGATCAATCGTAAAGCCCCTTAACAAACTCTCCGTCACAGCCTTGTCAAGCATCCTGCTAAAAACCTCCATCACAATAACTAAAAACAATAGAGAAAAAGGATCCCCTTGTCTCAATCGTCTACTACTCTGAAAATAACTCTTAAGAGTGCCGTTCACCATAACTGAGAAGGAAACTTTAAAAATACAAAACTGAATCCACTAGCACCACTTATCCGCAAAGCTACATCGCCTAAGCATGTACAAAAGAAATCCCCAGTTTACGTGATCATAAGCCTTGCGAATGTCAAACTTACATAACAAAACTCGAAGCCCTAGACGCAACCTTTAGTCGATGCATTAATTTGCTATAAGTACGGAATCCAAAATTTAGCACCCTTTGACAAAAGCATTCTGAAACTTAGACACCACTTTCCCTAGCACATCCTTTAATCTGTTCGCTAGAATCTTCGCAATAATCTTGTACACCCCACTAACTAAATTGATGGGACGAAAATCCTTGATATTAGTCGTCCAGATTTCTAAAATCAGCATAATAAATGTAGCATTGAAGCTTCTTAAGAACATGCCACACTAGAAGAAATAAATAAGGACATCCACGATGTCCAAACACACAACTTTCCAATGAGCCTCGTAGAATGAGAAAGAGAAACCATTGGGTCTTGGGGCCTTGTCATCATTCATACTGAACACCACCTCCCTAATTTCATTCTCCCCAAATGATCTCTCTAAGCAACTCGCTTCCTCCTCATTAATCGTAGAAAAATCTAGCCCCTTCAACTCTGGCTTCCAGTTAAACTACTCCCAATAGAGAGTCTTGATAGAAACTCACCATTTGGCAAACAACAAATGCGGAGACTTTTACGCCTGTTGCAAAGATGATTACTATGAGGACTATTTTAGCTATAACTGCTTCTAAAGGATGGTCTCTCCAATAGATGGATGTGAAGAATGCATTCTTACATGGCGATTTGAAAAAGGAAAAATATATGTCCTCCTGGCATGTTCACTCATCCTTCCACCGAGGTGGTTGATTGAAGAGGTCTCTGTACGGATTTAAACATGCCTCGCGTGCACAGTTTGAGAAGTTTCGTACCATTTTGCTTGATTTTCATTTCACTCAAGAGTCAATTTGATTCCTCTCTATTTCTTAAGCGAACTACACTTGTCTTGTTGTGCCTTTAGCATGTCATCCTAGGATTCGACACCCAGTGGATTGCGCAACTTCAGTATCATCTCAACTCTACTTTTCATACGAAAAATCTTGATACACCACATATTTTCTTGGTCTTGAGATACATTCTTAATCTAATAGTCTGCTTGTACACCAAAACGAGTATACCCAAGAGATTCTCACCTGAGCTGGCCTTCAACTTGGGAATTCTATACTTGCACCCTTGGAGGTCAATGCCAAGCTTAGTCAAGATGAAGGGAAAATTTTGCCAAATCCATCCCTATATCGACGGTTTGAAGAAAGTTTGACCTATTTGACAATTACTCGATCTAATATTTCATTTGTTGTACATTAGGTCGGTCAATTTATGCAGGCTCCAAGCCAATCTCACTTAGCCAATGTACGACGAATTATTTGTTACCTCAAAGATGCATCTAGTCGAGGTTATTTTTCTCCAATGAGAATTCCTTACAATTAATTGGTTATAATTATGTTGATTAGGCCGATTCTGTGGATACTCCCCGTTCAGTTACTAGTTGGTGCATGTTTCTTGGTGATGCATTTATTTCTTAGAAGACTAAGTAATATTGAGTCTCAAAGTCCTCTATTGAGTCTGAGTATCATGCATGTCATCCGCATGTTCAAAGATTGTGCGACTTTGAAGTTTGCTAGGAGAACTTGGTATCCCTCAACTTACTCTTACTCCAGTTCATGTTGATAACACTAGTGCTATTCGAATTGCTGCAAATCCAGTATTTCATGAGCACACCAAGCATATTGAAGTCGATTGTCATTCTATCCATGAATCACTTGATCAAAGTGTGATTATACTTCATCACATCTCCATCGAACATCAAACTGTTGATGCTTTTACTAAAGCTCTATCTCGTGACCACCATCAATTCATGATAGACAAATTGATGCTCCTTGATCAATCAGCATCAATTTGAGGGAGATGTTAACCATATATAGCGGCTCGTGATTCAAGGAATATTCTTCTCAAAATCTTTATTTTCTCTAATTGTATTCTGTAAATATACTAGTTTAGTTCTCATACCATATTTAGGTAGAAAACTCACTTTTTTTATATGATTGTGGGTATCCGAGCCAACTTACGCATACCTAAACTAATCCCACGGAGCTTTGAAATTTACAGTCGAGTACTAACCTCAGTTGCCCTACGGGGACTCGAACTAGTGTACATTGAAGAGTAAACCCAATGTTTGACCACTGAACTACACCTCAGGGTAAGAAAACTCACTTTAATTGGAGAAAATCAGCCATGTACCAAGTCGATGGCTTAGCTTTATAATAAGATTAAAACTCACATTTGGAGGGCATTTGAACCATTTTGACAAAAGAAAGCCTAAACTAGCCATCTACCATAAGCCTTAAAACATACCATATATATGGTGCTAACATTATACCAAAAAAAATTATATGCCAAAGAATACATCTAGAAGTGATACCTTCAACCCTTCTAAACAAGGAGCCTAAAGGGACACCATTTCTTCGGCAAAAACCTTCAGCGGCCTAACAAGTAAGATGAGTTCAGTTATCATGTATAAATGAGGTGAAATATCTCAATATCAAGATGTGGATTAGTTCAAGAACCATTCTATTAAACCCATAGTAAAGCAACAAATCAGAGAGTGTCACAATTTGATTAAGAAACAAACGCAGAAAAAACATTCATGAAACAATCCTTCCACGTTGAACTCTCACGTGAACAACATATGAAGCTAGCGTGCTTGACCTAAATCAATTATATGAAGGAATTAAATGCTTAAGAACAAAAATCGAAATGGGTCTAGCAGTAACTTAAACTGTGTAAACATATAATTTATACTGATAGATCAGAGTCACAATCTCACTAATTTGACTTGCCAATCTATTTCTTGCATGCAGTTGTAAGTTAATAGCTGCCTGCCCCTTATTTTAAAGGTGGCATGATTCATGAAAAGACTATTGGAGCAACCCTTAAATGTAAATGTAGCATAATTCAAGAAAACTAATATTCAAACAAGCAAAATAGAATAAGGGAATTGTAGAGTTCCAAGCAAGGAAGACCTTGGTAGGATTGCCTCCTTGGTCAAACGCCTTAGAAGCTGGAGGTCCTCGAACATCAATCTCATTTGCAACTTGCTTCGCATAGAGGTTATGGACATGTACCTGATCAGAAATTGATATGAGCAGAGAGGAGCAAGAATAATTGGGATTGCCATCGCAATAATACCAATTTATTATAATAAAAAAAATATTACTACGGTCACCAAAAATAACAATAAACAGTATCTGTCATCCTCATATCAGTATAGAAATTTGGCAGGGAAAAAGGGTTGTGGTTTCTTGAAAGGAGATAGTAATGAATCATCAGCTCAAAGCACCAATGATCTAATAAGAAAGGAGAGAAGATGAGAGGCTTACTTACAATATTATCATTTTTAACGTACAATAAGTAAACTGCTTAATTACAGGACTTATAATGATTAAATCAACACAGCGGTTCTTCTAGAATTACATATTGGAAACAGATGATGGAAAAGAATGGATTGAAACAGAGAAATCAGGAATTGATACTCAATGAACATCATCATGTCTTGAGACCTTAAATAATAACAAATATGCAGGGAGGTGGGGAGTATAGCTTGCATTCACAAATGAATTTAGTATTTCTGCATTCAGGAGAAATCAAAGCAACTAAACAATCAACATATAACTAAACAAATCAATATATCAAGAAACGTAAACAAGAGCATCAACCCATACCACGAGTCTGCGTGGTGTGCCAAACGTTAGAACTTTCCCATGACTCAATCTTTGTTTTTCCAGCAACTGCTCAATTAGATCTTTGAGCTGCATAAATCAAAGGATGATCTTAAATAGGGATTATGAAAGAGATGGAAGGTTGACATTAGGACATCTTTGGAAACATAAATGACATGGATAACAGCCATCAACAAAATGCTACAGGATCCATAGCTTCATAAAACCATGTAAGTTTGATTAAAAGAATGCTTGAAGATGAAAAGGACTCCATATCCAAGGAAACAGAAAAGCAAGAAACGAAAATCCATCAACTTTTGACAAATGAGAAAGTAAATCTAAGATCGATTTTGAGGGGGAAAGGTATGTACTTGCTTGCACGCGTTAACTACTTCATTTGGTGGCAACTCTTCAGTCCCAATTTCAAGTACAAATAACCGTGGATCTGTGGATACCTGCATGACATGGAATTTTTTTTTTTTAATCAATGTATTATCAACCAGTGTTGACATTTAAAATTACTTATACTGGGAATATATATAATAATTGATGTTGATCCCAGTTCAGATAGTTAAATTATAGTAAGTATTTGCTCATCCATAAATAATTTTAAAAAAACATATCATTAAGCTATCCACTGTAATCGAATTTTTAGCAATATGGAAAAACAAATCCATACTTTTCAATATAAATAGATAAAATATGTATGGAGTCACTCTGATGCTCTTCAATTAATAGCAACTCCTTATGTTGTTAAGAGTTTTAAGGAAGTCAGACGGAAGGTCTTCAGTTCTCAGGAAATTCTTAAGGGCATGAGAACTTCCAAAAATTAAACAGTAAAATTAGAAACTAACGAGTTAATTTTACCAACGGCCACCGAAGTTTGTTAGAAATTCCAAAATGGTCATTAATGTAATTTCTTGTTCAATTGGTTACTTCGGTATATAATGATATCACAAATTATCACTCGGCTAGAAAAGCTAACATAAAATCCTACATATTACTGTTAAGTTCCAAAGTGGACTAACAGAAGTAATTCCGTTGGCTATGCAAGACATTATCGTGTTTTCATAAAACAATTGCAAGTTGGTTATGTGTTTTTTCAAATTAGGTCGAGTCTAATCTTACCCAAAATATAGGTCATTTTTATGCACGAGATGAAATTTGTTAGTCCACTCTGTCACTTAACGCCAACATAGGATTTTACGTCGATATTTCTAATCGTGTGACAATTTGTAAAACCATTATAAACTCCAGTCCCTAATAGAGTAAGGAAATTCCTTTAACGAGCATTTTGAAGTTTCTTACAAACTTCAACGACCATCGGTGAAATTAACCAGAATACTAATACATTTGTCGAAAGATATCATTCCTAATCCTCAAAGTAAAGTCTCAGGGACAACGGTGAACGTGCGGAATGAAACCCAATTGTCAGAGGCTCAAAGCATAAAGAAATAGAAGAGTTAGAACAAGAAGGATTAGTTATCGCTCTGCTGGATCCATATGCACTTAAGAGATAAGGTTGCCTGTTGTCCCAGGCTGGACTCAAACCAGCACCTCCTGGTAACAAGTGGGATATGGGGGTGTGGGGGGACCATCCTCTCCAAGCATATTCCCTAGGGACCTATACCTATAAGTCCTACATTTGTTGAGTTGGGGGTTGGTTAGAATCAGGCAAGTCATGGACCAATGTGGGCGAAGGATTAAGAAAATATGTAAAAGAAGAGTAGGTCAATGGAAAGAATCCGTAAAAAGATAAGAAATTAACAATTATAAAGGACCCAGGGAAAAGGTAAAGAAGACTGATGATTTGACATGCACCACAAAAATTAAGTGCCTGATATTTGCAAGTAACTCGAGCTAGGAACCAATGCATGTAACAGTTAAAAATTAAAATGTTCAGATTTAAAGAAAATATACAGAGAGAAGAACTCAGATCTTTTGCAATGTTGGAGAACTGGTCTAGAGTAAAAATGTAGCACAATCTAGTGCATTCGCAGAGCTCTATGTTGAAAGTTTTTCTACAGGTTTAAAGGCCACCATGCAGTAATCGGGGTGAGAGGAAAGGAGAAATGGGGGACACGTTAAGAGGCTTCCGGTTTTTAGTTTGTAGAAAAGTACTTCTCATCAACACATCAAAATAAGATATTTATGGGAGCCTAAAGGTAAGGATATGTATCTTTTAGTGACAGGCTTTTTGAGCTTACTCTATGTTGTTGTTCTTATTGCTTCCCTCCTTTTGGGAATATAATATACACTAGCATACTATGCTAGGTAACATATTCACGCTTAGTTTTTCACAAGTTCCACTCACTAAGGCCTAATTCCATACTCCTGATGAAGTGTATTGTGTTCTGAACAATCATCATATAGCAAAGGAAGTTATCTGTTGAAAGCATTTAGCAATCTTATTTATTTTCCCCTGGACAATGATTAAGACAATTGATTTCCACATTTTTGTGCTCTTATAATTATGCTAAGCTTTATGAACTACAAAACTAAGAAGATATAAAGAAAATGCAGGAGCAAACAGTATGAAGCTTCAGATTGCACACAAGAAGAGATATTTTAGATATATCAAAGTAACATGAAGTATACCTTTCCTGCTGCTTCCTCTAAGACTTCTTTTGGAAACACAATATGATCAGATTGAGATGTAACTCCCAAGGGATATCCAAGAGACTCCCTCGTCTTTAACCAGAGTTGTGCGCATTGACGGGCTAAACTGGACAAAAGTTTTACACATAATTTTGAACAAGTCAAATATAAGGACAAAAGAATGTGTTTATGCAAGTGGCTGTGAGGAGAATTACAAGTAAAGAGATTCTAGTCGTCAACAAATACAGGTAAAGGACCGAAATAGAAGCGTATCTTCCAATGTAATAAATACAGGTAAGGGGCAGAAAGAAAAGTGCATCTTCCGATGTTAGTTCTTAAAGTTTCACGTGTTTCCCAAAAAGTATGGTTTTATCTAATCCAAAGTGGAAAAATATGGAAAACATTACTAATCATCTTGTTAAGGATTATTTGCTAATCCTATATTACCTAGTGCAATAATAAAATAAAACACAGTAACAGGGGGCCTACCACCCCCGGACCACCTTAGTAGACCTTACCACAAACGTTGAACCACAGTCAAGGGGAAAGGTATGAAGTATATTAGGCTCTACAAATCTCAAAAGCACTTAAATACATCTATATCATACAGTAGCAATGAGTATAACCTCACCTACGCATCCGACCAAAATAGCGAGCACGTTCTGTTACCCCAACAAACCCTCTAGAGTCAAGTATGTTGAAAGCATGAGATGTCTTCAAAAGTTGATCATACCTAACAGGTCATAGAAATACAGATATCTGTTGATCAAAATAATAACAAACCCAAAGTTTCTCGATTTCACTTAACACATCAAGAAGGAAGCACATAAAATAAAGATAAGTACGCAGGAATTGCAAGGCCTGAATCGAGCAAACAGCGAGCTTCGGCCTCAAAAAGGTCGAAATGCTTATGAATGTTATCGACACTGGCATGCTTCAGATAATATGCGCTCATTTCCTTCCTGCAACAGGACACGAAAACCATAACTCTTCTTATGCAAAGACTAAGGATTAACAGGAAGCATGTAAAAGCTTGGGGAAGGTGAAAAATATAGGAAGAGGACATAACGAAAAGAATATAACACCCTAAATAGCCAGGTTTAGAATATCAAAACAGTTCAGGGAAAAAAATTGACAAAAAGAAGACAGATCAACTAGAAATATGAATTATAAACTACAGGGCGAGAGAGGGAAGATTGGGATGGAAGAAAGAATGCAAAAGAGGTCAACTTAGCAAAGTATGGTAAGTAATAGGCGGAGACTTGCACTTCCTAAGTACAAGAGATACATCAAAGATTTCCAACAGCCTAAATTGAAGTTAAAAAAATTCTATTTATGTCCTTTCAAGATTTTGTTTCCTTAAAAATAACTCTTGAGTTCTTTGAAGAACGAAAATGAATTCATATAAATCCAAACAAGTATGTAATTTCAATATCTCACACCTTCTTTTTTGTTTTCTATCGTATGTGAAAATCAAATATTCTTTGTTCGAGATTTGTTTCATTACAATTAGAAGACAAATAACTCATTCTTAAGAAAACATCACAAATAATTAGAACAATAGAATTCATGCATATTTGCTGCATGGTAGTCAATTCTTATTGGGAGAAAAGATAGAATACTAAGCAGCTTATCAACTCATGCTTAAGAAAACAAAATAATTAGAATAATAGAATTTGAACATTTTGCAGCATGGTAGCCAATTATTATTGGGAGAAAAGATAGAATACTAAGCAGCTTATTAACTCATTTTCCAGAAAAAGCTCTCCGTATGTTATCCCATCAGCATATTGAATTTTCTTGAAATGATCAACTCCCTGCAAATAGATTTTAACAAGATTTAGCCAAGCATGTCATCTAGCAAATAGAATAAGTAATCTCAATAGAATTAGAGGGACCTGAAGCAACATAAGGATCCGTTCAAGACCATATGTAATCTCAACAGATACAGGCGTTAATTGAAGACTCCCTGCCTGGAGAATAGGAAATTTATTCAAATATAAGGACAAAACAAATTATATATATGACAAATGAAGCTGCTCAATAAAAGGTAGAAAAAATATTCCGAAAAGTAAAAACTCATTCTTGGTAAGTAGAAGTTCATATTTCAAAAATTGTAGAAGTGCTTGCAATCGAGTAAGGGAGAGGACCTGCTGGAAGTAGGTGAATTGAGTGATCTCCATCCCATCCATCCAAATTTCCCAGCCCAATCCCCAGGCACCTAAAACCTACCAGTAATCAGAAACAAGAAAGATTATCAATCAATAAAATACTCATACATGGGGGGAAATGAACTGTTTCCCTATGTCAGTCATATATCACTAAAGGCAAGAGCAGAAAACGAGGAACAAAATGATAAGGTTAGAATCAACTCACACGTGTATTTTATGTATGCACGTATGATTTATACACCAATTAAAACAGGCAGCCTTACCGGGCTCTCCCAGTTGTCCTCGACAAAACGTATGTCATGGTCATGAACGTTAATACCTATCAACAATTACAGGAAATATTATGCCAGTATAAACAAACAAATCCTTAAAAATCTGTAAACATGGGAAATCAGTGAACTATGGGCAGATTAATAGAGCAAGCCAGTAATGATTAAAGAAAATTAACGTTCAACTTCTTTATATTTTGAATGATTTGTATCAATTAGTTTAGTTGAGAGAACCGACACACTGTTTAAACTAATACTTGATACAATACCTCAACTGACGTATTGCAGAAAGCTATAATGATTAGTGACTGGTGCCAATCCTTTCCTAGATAATAAGGAAAAATGATGAGAGGAACCTCACCGACAGTCATCTAAGCTACAATTTTATCTCTATAAAATAGTCTTTTGACCATTGCAATTGTCATTACAGTAGCAACAATAACTTCAACTGCAACAGCTTAGCGCATGCGTGTTTTGGTGTTAACCCCCTATCTGACCTACAATTTTAATTTCCACAAAATGGTGTTTTGATAGTTGTAATGAGGCCATTACTGTATGGAGTTGCCATTTTACAGCAAAAATAACTTCAGCATCAACAACTTCGTCTCTGTGTGTTTGGGATGGCAGGATTGACCAAAGTTTAAAATGGCTAAATTGGGTACTGAGGCATTGTCTTTGTGAAGCGAGACGTAAGCCTCAAGATGAACCAATAAAGTTATTCAAAGGAATATAAAAATATAGAAACATGCTTATAATAAACCATACACTATGAAAATCCATAATAGAACATATTAACAAAATTAATCTAACTCGCAAAACATAAATAAAACAGATAAAGTGGGAGATAGTAAGCTCTCAATTTAGTAACAAAACAAAATTGTAATCCACTACTAGAAGTAGAGACAATCCAGAAATATCCTATAATATCACTAATAATACGATCCTTAAGAGAATCATCTATTTCATTCACTCATCATCCTCCATCACTATCATTTCTTTCTCATCATCCTCCATCACTATCAGGCTATAAAGAGAATACCTAAAACTTGAGGCCCCAATAAAATTCCCAAAAAGACAGTACCAGTGAGTGCACACAAACACGTTGAGGCATAGCCTTGAGGCACAAGCCTCACTAATGGCACTCAATGAGCAGGTTATAAGACGTTTTATAACCACCTCACATGAGGTGGGTTCAAGACGTAAGCCTCAACAAGCTTTCTTAAACAATGGTATTAACATTTTTCAAACGTTAGAATCCAGTCGCCAAATGAAAAATAAGTCAAGCAGTAGAAAGCAAGGCAGAGGAACATTGCCACCTCAAGCCCCAAGACTTCTTCAAGCAAAATAATTGATCTTCAAAAACTCAAGCATCCACATTTAACATATTAGCAACGTAAACTTCCTCCCAACTAAGAAAACCAGAATGCAAACACTCTTTGCTACACTTAAAACAAAATCCACTATTCATATTAATTTTAATTACCATGCATGTATAAAAAAACCAAAAAAAAAAAAAAAAAAAAAAAAAAAAAAAAAAAAAAAAAAAAAAAAAAAAAAAAAAAAAAAAAAAAAAAAAGAAAAGAAGAGGACGACTTGTGCTCACTGCTCAAGCATCAAATTTACTTTGCCAGAGAAATGGAATGACAAATTTGCTCCACTAGTTACACACAACTATATGACGATTAATATCATTAGGAGATGAATTTTGTCTTTTTTACAGTTACTAATTATTATATTTCTGAATCTTGGACAAACTGAGAAATTGTCTTTATCTTCTCACCATAATAAAAGAAATAAGAAGGTTAATTATTAAAAGAGCACAATGCATAAAGGGCAACATATTTGTTTCCACAAGGCAAAAAAAAAAAAAAAAAAAAAAAAAAAATGCAACACTGAAGAGTCTATAGAAGATAAATGAAATATCATAATATGAGTAGCCCTCATACATGTGGCCTTCTCTAAAAGTTTAGGCTTTTATATTAATGGTATAAAAGCAGTAGGCAAGCGTCTAAGGTTCACATCTCACCGCCGCCCCTTAATCAAATTGTGCATGTGTTAGGCTTTGAAGGTAAAAAAATGAATCCTCCTACACATGAGGCGGCATGTTGAACATAAAAATTAAGTGATACACATAGCCATCTCCGAAAGCTTAAGATTTTATATCAAGCGTTAATCAGATTTCATAGTAGGCCACCATCTTCTACTCCAAGTAGTGTCTAAGGCCATTCTTTAAACAATTCACACACCGCTAGATAGTATTCAAATGGCCTTAGAAGACAAGCTTTAGAAAGTAGGGAACAAGCTCACCATACTAAATATAATGAAAGGACCTTAAAGCATTCTAGTGGAGTATGTCCTACTACATCCTTCAACTTCGAATTTGTTTTCCTCTTCCTTGTTCAAGCATTTTCAACTTCAAATTTGATTTTCTCTTCTCTTTTCAAGCATTTTAGTAAATTACAGACTATTAATCTGCTTGTTACATCCATTACCAAGTTCCTATGAAATTGTGTTGTGAAATTCATAAAAATGGACAATGTATGCATCTATACATAAGGAAAAGAAATGGCCAAATAAACACAAAAGAGACCTATGATGCACCGACACGGACACGTATGTCCGACACGATACGTGTCGGATACGTCGACTCATGATTTTTCAAAAAAGTACCGATACTACACGTCGTTGACACGTTCATTAAATTTTTAAAATTCTTCATTTATATAGTTTAAATTTAGCCCCTGTTTGATTCCCATTACCTGAAAATGAAAATGGGAGGAATAGTATTTTTAGAAAAATGAGTGGTTGAAAAAGAGGAAAAGTTTTCGATTTACGTGTAATATTATTTTATGGAAGATTGTGTGGTTGAAAATAGGAGAGAGAAAAATGTAATGTAATGTAATTTAATTTAATGGGGATCAAACAGGGGCTTAGTTTTATACTTATTATTGATTCTTTTTTGTTAAAATATTTTAAATATGAGTACTTACTTGTTATTTATTAAAAATTTTGAGTTAAAAATATATAATAGTTATAGTAAGAAAGGAAAATGATTATTGTAGAGTGTCCGAAGAGTGTCGGTGTCGACACGTATCCGACACGTGTCGGACACGGACACGCTACCCTAGTTAGAGTATCCGTATTACATAGAAAGAGACAATCAGGGAACTAAAAAATGAACAATTACTCAGCACAAAAGAGTTTATCGATGCAAAGAATGTTAACAAAAAAGCACATGATAAGGAATGAGAACCTAGGGCTGATAAGCTCCGAATAAATAAGTCTTGTGAATTTCCAGGATCAGGCTTCAGTATAACCTGAAAAGAATTTCAGGCAACCACTCTTAAGGTAAATGAAAGAACGTTGAAAGCCAACATAACCCCTCAAAAACTTCGCTGAGTTCATAAATCAATCAGGGCTTTAGATTTCCTACAATGAACAATCTCAAAGTTCACCTGGAATTGAGTGTGCCTTTGAAGCCTATTTGGGTTTTCACCATAACGACTATCATCAGGCCGGATGCTAGGTTCTACATACCTTCCAGCAGAAACCACCATGTTAGCAATCAAACTAAGAACTAGGATAACCAAATATATTTGCATCACTCAAAAATGACAAGCAAAAACATCTTGTGATAATATTCTTGCCCAACTCAATAGGATATTATGGGACACTTAGTCCTTTCCAAGTCCAGGTATTCTTTAAAGCAAACTTTTTTAAGGATTTTATCAGGAGCTAATATCAAATGCCACATTTACAAAATATTTTGTCTCACATAATTGATTCAATCAATACTGAATAATGACAATGTCATACTTTCTCTTTGTCAAATGCATATAAATTGATGCCAAAGTAAGTCTAGTATTCTACGACACTCTTGCTAGTACAATGGACGGACTGTTTATCAAACTGTGTTTCAAATGCCAAAAGAATAAAATCAAATTGTCGTCTTAGCATTTTTTTTTAAATTTTCATCAACATGCTAACAAATATTGAATTCATGGTGCCCCCAATTCTAGATGCAAAGCAATATATAGTTACGTATGAGTCATATATCCATTTTCATCTCAATTTTTCAATTTTTATTTCATGTTTTTGGTGGAGAGAGGGAGAGGTGATAACAAATATGAATTTTACAAAGGATCAAAAGCATACTTACGCAACATTCCATGGTTCTGGACCAAGAACCCTTAGAAACGTAAGAGGGTTCATAGTCCCAGCACCAACCTGCGCAATACAGTCAAAACCTCAAAAAATTAATAAGTGTCTGACAGGAAACTGGCTCACATATTTAAACAAGAAATAAATAAAGTGAGAGAAAAAAAAGTGTAGGAATAGTGTGTGGAAGAAAAAAAGAGAGAAGGGTTCATTTTTAGCCTGCATAAATAGGGATGCAAATTATATGATATAATATATGTAAAGACAAAGTAAATGGTGACCATGTATAAAGGACATGACACGTGATGGAAAAAGTTGTTGAATACCTCAGTGTTGCTGCATTGCATCACAGCACATCCAACAGAAGCCCAATACTCCTGCACGACATAGAGTCCAAATCTCAAAATAGTAAATGAAAACAATGTCATACTACCATTTACAATTTTTTTGTATCCTACTTCACTCGCACGAAGTTAAAAAGATCACTCTATACATTTACTATAGCACGGACAATGATTGTCCATTATTTGTTTTCTGCAATGTTTACAGCAATCTCTTGAAAAAAATAAAAAATAAATAACAATTCCTAAAGTTTTCAATAAATTCTAATCTACTCCCTGAAGTTCCACGTTAACCAATTTAGTTGTCAAGTCACTACTTAGTAGCAATTCATCAAACTCAAAACTTGTGGTCCAATTTAGATCAAATCTGCCATTTTCAAATAATATGTCAACTCATTTAATCCAAAACTATTGTAAAGTTTCAAAATCGCTAATTTTACAATTAAGCGGTACCGCCGCCAAAATAAGCCGCAACATAGAAATAGAACTAACATGAAACTAAGAGCGAGTTTGGCCTGACTTAAGGGGAGGGGGGGGGGGGGGCATCG